ACCATTTGTTTGATCGAAATTTTAAAATACACACTCTTTTCATTCTAATGAACAGTCACCAAAAAAAAAAAATGAAACACAACCTAGAAAGTATTTTTTTAGCCTAATTAACATGGGCTGTCCATTTTTATAAGATGCTTAGATCTAGGCCTTAGAAGAATTTTTTCTTTTCCAAATTTTTTTATATGGTTTTATTATCATTAGATGAACAATGTTAAAAGGGAAAAAAATGATTTTGAGTTTGTAAAGGCTAAGATCTTGAAATTCACCAAATGAATTGTCTAGATTTGTTGCTGGAAGGGACTCATTTTGACCATATCTAGGATTTGAAATGATTTTTTTTTTTTTGGGATTGATTATTAAGATGAAGAGAGTGTGTGCAAAATTTTCGGTCATACAAATACCACAAACATGGTTTTTTAGAAGTGTGGTTGCATTATATTATGATACAACCGTTGCATTAGATCACTGCCCTACATATATAGCCCACTAGCTCATATGAACATATGAGCCCAACGACGGTCACGACCTCATTTCGTGTGTGAATTTTATTTATTTTTGTACAAATCCAAATCACTTAAAATTTTAGCCGTGTGTTCTTTTCATCAAGACGCGCCTAATAAAAATATAAAAAAAATTATCCGCAAAAAAAATAAATGACCAAAATACTGTCGAAAACTTTTCGGGGGTATTTTGGTCAATTTATTTCATGTAGAATATTTTTTTGATATTTTTCAAAGATTCAACTATTTTTGGTTAACACACCAAAAATTTCAAGTGATATGGATTTGTAGAAAAAAATTAAAATTTAAACACTATCGGACATTCGTGATCGTCAGATCGGCTTAGATTCAATCTAGGCCGTTGGGCTCATATGTTCATATGAGCTAGTGGGCTAATCCCAGCTTTTTCTTATATATATATATTGGGAGAGTTTGAGGTCAGCCTGCTAGCTAACAACTACAGTTGCCCAACAGCCCATATTGAATCCGGGCCAGTCCAATAGTCACGATTGAATTTTAAATTTTAATTTTTATGTACTCTTGGAAAATAGGCGAACCTAATAGAAATATTAAAGCAATAATTTGTAAAAAAATAAATTGACTAAAATACCTTTGAAAGCTACAAGGGTATTTTGATCAATTTATTTTTTGCGAATAACTTTTTCAATATTTTTATAGGGTGTACCTTGATGGGAAAAATGGATGTTCCAAATTTCAAGTGATTCCTATTTGTAGAAAAAAGATTAAAATTCAAATACGAAATACAATTGTGAACGTAAAATTGGCTAGATTCAACCTGGGCCATTGGGCTTACGCTATTCCATCAGCTAGTTTTATATATATATATATATATATATATATATATATAAAATTGAATCTGGGCAAATTTGACGGTCACGATCTTATTTCGAATATAATTTTAATATTTTTTCAATAAATCCAAATTACATGAAATTTGAGGTGTCCATTCTTCTCATCACGGCACACCTTCTAAAAATATTTTAAAAAATAACTCACAACAAATAAGTTGACCAAAATACCCATGAAATGTTTAATGGGTATTTTGGTCAAATTGTTTTTTGTAAACTTTTTTTTTGATATTTTTATTCGATTCTCATATTTTTTAAGAAATAAACGCTCCAAATTTCAAGTGATTTGGATTTGTAAGAAAAAAATTAAAATTAAAATACAAAATGAAATCGTGACTATTAGATCAGCCTAGATTCAACTTGGGCCGTTGGGCTATACTGTAGCCGTCAGCTAGTGGGCTGACAGGATCTTATATATATTATATATATATATATATATATATATATATATATACTTATATTAAGTTAACTTAACGTAACGTAACGTTACGTTACCGTTCCGTCGTCGTC